TCTCCACGCATTATTTTCAAATGTGTTCTATGGGTTCTGGGTTCTGATATACACTGTGTTCTGAATAACATTCTGAACATTACACAATTTATTTTAATTTCCTCTTTGACCAAAGAGTTCGTTCAAGCCAGTAGATTTTGGAATTTACACGTGAAAGATTTTCATTTTTCTAATTTATGACTTTTTTTTTTTTAGTCAGAATTTTATCTGTCCTTTTCTACTTTGTGGAATATTTGAGATTTTATAGGCCTACTATGTGGACTGATTTTGAGAATGTTCTCTGAGCATTTTAAAAGATGGTTCACTACCTATTTTCAAGATGCAGAATAAACTAGTTAGCTCTATATTATAAATAAGTGCATATTTTTATTTCATGTTCCCATTTTTTATATGTTTGCATATTTCATGGATTTGATCTCCTAGGTTGAGAGAGGTGGTCTTCTCAGTTGCTAATGTGTTTTTGTATCTTGGATTTCTGTATTTTATATATTCATGATTATCTTCTTTATTTTATCTTTAGTCTTTATTTTCACCATTTCTTATATATTGTTTTACATGCATATCTTGTATATATATAGTTTAGGGGGGTTTTGCTAATATCAGTTGTTAAACTTTAGCATGAATCAAAATCACCTGAAGGGCTTGTGAAATACAGATTGCTGGGCCCTACCCACAGGTTTTTTGATTCTGGAGAGGCCTGAGAATTTTCTGTATGATCCTATCATAGCTCTTTTAATAGTTATTTTTATTCTAGTTGCACTTATTGACAGGAACAATATGGTTGGTATTGATTCTCTGATTTTACTTTATATACTGTTTTAATTTTTTTTTTTGGGGGGTCATGCGGCACAGCTTGTGGGATCTTAGTTCCCTGACCAGGGATTGAACCCATGCCCTTGGCAGTGAAAACACAGAGTCCTAACCGCTGGACCTCCAGGGAATTCCCAACTGTTTTAAATTCTGCCTCATCTTTTATCTTTTGTATCTTTTGCTATAGGATCTTTCTTTGTTTTGAATATATGTCTTTTTTTCCCGAAAATTTGGAAAGTTTATATTTTTTTCTTATGGTTGCCTTTATATTCATAATTTTCTTAGTCTTCATCTTTGATTTGAGATAATATCTATTTACTGTCTGTTACCAGGAGTGATGTATACTTTATGCATTTTACAATAAATATTTTCAGTCTCCCTCTTCCCTTCACTGCACAGTTGGTGATTATGATTATTATTCTAGCTTTAAATAGTAACAGTTGCACTGCTCTCACCTCCCCCTTCATAGTATGAAATTCTTTGCATCTTTGCCGTTGATTGTGCAGTGACCCATCTATCAAAATCCTATCCACTGTTCAACTTTGAACTTCATTTTTATTAAACTGTCTCTCACTTCTAGCCCAATCTCTCTAATCTCTGTATCTCCATCTTATATTGTAGCTTCCAGAGCAACTTGGATCTTAACTATATACTCTGTTAGATTTGTATTTTTTGCTTTGATGTCTGAGACATACATTGAAGCTTATTGGCAGAAAGGCCAGTTTTCTATCCTTCTTGTCTGCATTCTTGAGCACAAATATTTTATTTTGTGAAATGTCTACCCTAGTCTTTCTCCCATTTAAAAAACTAAATTGTTTATATTTTTATTATTGTGTTTCAAGAGTTCTGTATATTCTGGATACAAGCCCTTTATTAGTTTCTCCCAGTCTATGGCTTTCCTTTTTGTTTTCTTAACTGTGTTTTTTTTTTCTTTTCTTTAATTAATTAATTAAAAATTTTTTGGCTGCATTGGGTCTTCCTTGCTGTATGCAGGCTTTCTTTAGTTCATTCAAGCAGGGGCTACTCTTCATCACGGTGCGCGGGCTTCTCAATGCGATAGCTTCTCGTTGCAGAGAACAGGCTCTAGGTGCGCAGACTTCAGTAGTTGTGGCACGCAGGCTCAGTAGTTGTGGTGCACGGGCTTAGTTGCTCCATGGCATGTGGGAGCTTCCTGGACTAGGGCTCGAACCCGTGTCCCCTGCATTGGCAGGTGGATTCTTAACCACTGTGCCACCAGGGAAGTCCTTAACTGTGTTTTTTGAAGGGCGTTAATTAGTTTTAAATTTTGATGAAGTCTACCACTTTTTCTTTTATATTAATAGTTTTTTATTAATAGTTTTAATGTTTATGCTGAGGTCTATAATTGATTTTGAGTGAATTTTTGCTTATGGTATGCAGTGAGGGTTGAGGTATTTTTTTCTAGTTATGGAAATTATAGCACTGATATGAGTGGCAGCATATTACTTATCAGTTCTTGAAATGATTTATAAGAAAATGAGGATATAATTTTAAGACAGATAGATCAGGATAATGTCCAAGGTTTGCAGTGAGTGGATGGAAAACAGTTATAAGAGAAAGGATTTAGAGAGAGGCCAAGGAAAGGGCTCTTGACAAGAAAAGGGCTTGGGTGCCAGTATATCAGGCATAATGAAAGGAGAAAAATAAATGAAAATTGAATTTGATGGCAATGACAGTTTCTGTATCAAGAAACCATAGTACCAATAATCAAAATAGAAATCAAAATCAGATTTGGAAGTAAAAATGGCTATTTTCTGGCATATTTTCTTTCCCATTAAATATATGTGTACTTTGCTGTTTAGCCCATGTGAAACTCAGTTGTAAGTAGATAAAAAGAGCACTGTCTATAGTTATTATACAATTATAGACTGAGTCAAGTTAAAAGGCTCAAGTCTTCAAGATCTCTGTAAGTATAACAAATAGGGGCTTTTAAAAGTCAAATAGGATTATAACTATGCTTGCTCCATTCTTCCTCACCCACAGTTTTTGTTCCACATAGACAGCCACTTTCAACTCATTTGACTGTGTCTGTTGGTGTTTATTCCCGTATTTTATACAGCTATTTTATCTATTTTAAATGTAATCAATTTAATCATTATCAACATGCTAATATGAAAGATGGGGTTCAGAAAATTTCCTGCATTCATTTTTCTTCATATTTTCTCTGAAACTCCTTTCTCTGGTGCTTCATATTTTCTCTTGAACCTCCTGGATTCCTCCACTAAACTACTAATTTCCCAGTCATTACTCTCTTTCTTTATTCCTTTCTCCCTTCCTTCCCTTTTTTTTTTTAAAATTTTTTTATTCTGGGAGATATTCTGTATTTTTTTCTCCAACCTATTGAATTTTTAAGGTTAGCATCATACTGTTTATTTCCAAAAGCACTTATTTATAGAATCCTGTTAATATTTCATTGCTATATAATCTCTTAGCTTTCTGTGATACTAATTATATATTGTATGTATGCGCTCTTCTGTTCCTTGCCTTGTTTTTTCCTATTTGTTTGATCTTTCACATTATGGCTTTTGTCCAATTTTTGTGATCTTTAACTCTACATTAATACATTGAGGTACCAGAAAGATTATTGTAATCTCTGTGTCCATGGGTGGGTCTTGTAAAATGGTGGGCTTCACTGTGCAGCATTCAGTCAGATATCTAAGTCTTTCTTTTATATGACTCCAAATGTCAGTATCTGTAGGTGTTCTCATGATCTTCTCATTTTTTCAAACAAGAACCCCTCCATTATCTAACAACTACCAGCATTCTTAGAGTCTAGCAGAAGAAAGAAGTTGGGAGCCTATACTATATATAAACTTTTACTCATCCACTTCTTTCAGTATGGTACTCTCATCTACTTTCCCTGTCATCACTAAATTTGGAGTTTCGCAGTTGTACTTTGTCTGGATAATAAATTCCTATTTCTTTCCAGTTAGGAGAATTGGGTGTATCAGCTGCTCCTTTCATTTTATAAGCCCCACCTTCCACTCTCATGCAATGTCTCCAGTTATAGTGCCTTTCTGTTGACAGCTGTGTCACAGATTACCTTGCTTCTAAGTAGCATCCTCATCTGCTAGCATTTTATTTAAGTCACTCAGTTCTGCTGTTAATTTACAGTCCTTTATTTGCTTTCCTTTCAAAATTTCTTAATACTTTCATTCACTGTTGTCTCCTCAACCTTTTAGATTTTATGAGTAATGCCCTTCATCCCCTATTGTCATTTTAATGGAGTTTCAGGAAAATGTAGAAATAAATGTCTTATTTAACCACATAGCCCTTATTAATACTCCTATTCATTTTATTTTTTATCCCTTCATCCTAGGCTTTCCAAATGTTACGTGTTTGTCTTTCATCCTGTTTGTCACCTGTTCTTTATGTTTTCCCTTACTTTACTGATATATAAAGTATACATTGTTTCATTTAAAAGCAGTTTAAGCTACATGCACCCATGGATGTTATTTGCATTTGAGCTTTCTTTTATACTGGTAGGTTAGGTTTGAAATAAAGAGTCTATTTTTAAATTGCATATTTTTGAAATTTTATTAAAAATAGTGGGAAAATTTACAAGTGTGATATTGATGATGATGATAGCTACTTTATTGAATGTTTACTACATGCCAGGCATTAAATATTTTACAGTTATTAACTCTTTTCAATGATGATTTTTTTGTACTCCTTTTTAGAAAAGGCCTGGGAAATTTATAAGTAAATAAAGACACAACAGGAAAGACTTGTGGGTTAAGTCTCATCCTTCTCCGTGAAAGCACAGCTAAAGAAAAACTCAGAAAACCTAGGTAGCAGAAAAGTATTTCCTCTGAGCACAGACATTGATTCTTTAAGACAACTCTGTGTATGGGACTCAGTTTAAACGAGTTTGGAACATTTAATTTACACTTAAATATGAGAGAAGCTGTCTAAGCAAGAACCATTAAGAATATAATGAGGATGCTATATTTCATCCCAATTTGTAATCAGCTAATCACAGGATAACCAATGTGAAAAGTTTTTCATCATATATTCAACTTTGTTAGATAGCTGAGAATTACTGTTGGAGAGAAACATATGAATTTACTGAATGTGGAAAAGCTTTCATCCATGTCACATGTCAAGAGATACTAAGGAATTCTTGTTGGAGAAGGTATCTGTGCATGATAAGAATGTTGGAAAGCCTTCAGCCTGAATCAGATCTCCTTCAGCATGATCAGGTTCATGCTGGAGAGAAACCTTATGAATGTAATGACTGTGGAAAAACATTTAACCTGAAGCAAAACCTCATAGAGCATAAGAAAATGCATACTGGAGAGAAATCACATGAATGTAATGAATGTGGTAAAGAATTCTCTCGAGTCTCATCCCTTACTCTACACTTGAGAAGTCATACAGGAAAGAAACCATATAAATGTAATAAACGTGGAAAAGCCTTCAGCCAGAAGGGAAACTTGCTTACTCATCAAAAACATCATACTGGAGAGAAAACTTATGAATGTGGGAAAGCTTCTATTCAGATGCCAAGCCTTATTAAACACCAGAGAAATCATATTGGAAACAAACCCTATGTATGTAAGGAATGTGGCAAAGCCTTCAATGGAAAATCATATCTCTCTGAGCATGAGAAAATTCATACAGGAGAGAAACCATTTGAATGTAATCAATGTGGAAGAGCCTTCAGCCAGAAGCAATACCTCGTTAAACATCAGAATATCCATAGTGGAAAGAAACCCTTTAAATGTAATGAGTGTGGAAAAGCCTTTAGCCAGAAGGAAAACCTCATTATCCATCAAAGAATTCATACTGGCGAGAAACCTTATGAATGTAAAGGGTGTGGGAAAGCTTTCATTCAGAAGTCAAGCCTCATTAGACACCAGAGAAGTCATACAGGAGAGAAACCTTATATATGTAAGGAATGTGGAAAAGCCTTCAGTGGGAAATCAAACCTCACTGAGCATGAGAAAATTCATATTGGAGAGAAACCCTATAAATGTAACGAATGTGGAACAATATTTAGGCAGAAGCAGTACCTCATTAAACATCACAATATTCATACAGGAGAGAAACCCTATGAATGTAATAAATGTGGAAAAGCCTTCTCTCGAATCACATCTCTCATTGTACATGTGAGAATTCATACAGGTGATAAGCCTTATGAATGTAAAATATGTGGGAAAGCCTTCTGTCAAAGCTCATCTCTTACTGTGCATATGAGAAGCCATACAGGTGAGAAGCCCTATGGTTGTAATGAATGTGGGAAAGCCTTCTCTCAGTTCTCAACTCTTGCTCTGCATATGAGAATCCACACTGGAGAAAAACCTTATCAGTGTAATGAATGTGGGAAAGCTTTTAGCCAGAAGTCACATCATATTAGACACCAGAGAATTCATACTCATTAAAACTCTGAATGCCTTGAATTTGGGAACACCTTCAAGAGAATTTGTATTAAACAGTATATCAGAAAATTCATTTTACAGTAAAGTCACATGAATGTGGAAAATCCTTCAGCAACAGCTCAAAATGTAATATACTGAGAATTTAATAACTATCACAGTATCATGAAAACCTACACCCCCAAGACCCCCACAACAAACATTGTTCCTGCTGTACTTTTAGGAGCATTCTCATTAAAGTAAGAATCCAGTCATGGACACTAATCAACATGGTTCTGGAAGGCCTACTTGATGCATTCAGACAAAGATATGCGAGGTATTAAGATGTGAAATTAAGAGACAAAATTGTCTTTTTTTTTTTTTTTTTCCAGTATGTGGGCCTCTCACTGTTGTGGCCTCTCCCGTTGCAGAGCACAGGCTCCGGACGCGCAGGCTCAACGGCCATGGCTCACAGGCCTAGCCGCTGTGCGGCATGTGTGATCTTCCCGGACCAGGGCACGAACCCATGTTCCCTGCCTCAGCAGGCGGACTCTCAACCACTGTGCCACCAGGGAAGCCCAAAATTGTCATTTTTTTGTTACATGTTTTGCTACATGTATAGTCATCAAAATTATGTGCTCTTGATGCAGTAATAGAAAACAAAGATTGTGACAGAATATTATATCCAGAAACATATGCATATCTTTATGGGGAATTAGCAATTGATAGAGGTGGTAATCACAAGTTGGTAGGAAAATCTGGATGATTTAAAAAATGGTCTCAGGGTAATTGACTCTTCATATGGAAAAATATTAGATCTTTGCTGTTGTTATACATTAAAGTATTTATTTAAAAATCCAAAAGTGTTGTGAAGATTAGAATGCAAAGAGCAAAACTTAGTAATATAAGAATTTTATAGGAGAATTTTTTCAAACCTCAGGGTAGGAAAGAATTTCAAAAACAGATTCCAGAATACCCACTCTTGAGTATACGCACATATAGTGAAGAAACTGATACATGTACCCAGGGAGTCCTGTACCTTTATGTTCATTGCAGCATGAGTTATATTAGCAAAATATTGGAAACAAATGTCTGTCACTTTTGAAATGGATGAATAAAATGTGATGCAGTCACACTGTATAATATTCTCTAGTAGTTAAGTTTAACAAATTAAATCTATATGTATTAATAGAGAAAGATATGAAAATCATGTAGCGTGAAAACAAATGAAGTGAATATATTATAATTATACCTGTATGAATTTGAATTAAATCAACACTAACCAACACTAGTATTAAAGTATTGGTTATGGGTGAACATTTTTATGTAAAACTATGAATGGATTGGAAGAATACACACTCAATTCCCAAAAGTGGTTGTCTCTAAAAAGAAAGGCAGTAGAAGGGAAATGGGGCCAAACATGGTAGTTAAAGGATACTTCAGTTTTGTATCTAAATATCTATCTCATTAAAAAGAAAAAAAGATTTCAAGTAAATAAAACAAAATATTAGTTAATTCTGAATTGTAATAGTATATGAGTTTATTCTGTTGTTTATGCTATTTCTTTTAAACTTCTGAAAATTAAAAAAGATAGGGATAGGAGTAGGGGAACTATATGGAGTACATGTTATAGTGGATTCACATTCCCAGTTAGATGCAGATATTTTACAGAAGATATTTCTACAATCATATCTTTACTATAAAATATGAATTTTAAAAATTGGAATGGTAACAAATCTAGTTATTTAAATTTACTCTCAAATGTCATATCATTAATCTCTGTGTGGTCTCTGCTGAGACCACAGTAGATTATAGCATGACTTTGCAACAGGTGATTGAATCACATACATCTAAGGATCATATCACTTAGTAATACATGCACAAACTTGTTAGAGATAATTAGTTTTTCAGAAACATTTATCAGAAATTTTAATAGTCCACATAACCAGTATTGGCATTAGAAATTTGACATTTTTTAAATGAGGAAAACATGTCACTCTTACATTTTTTTGTATGCCATTGAGTAAAACATCAACTCTTGCATTTCAGCTTGAGTTTTAAACTCAGACTATTTTTCTTCTCTAACCTGCCACAGTCAATCAATTTCCCCCACCTCTAGTTTGTTTGTTTCCTTCAGGAAAATGGCACTGAAAAGGAAGATCTCAGACCTAAACAGAATTCTTTTATTAAAAGCAAATATTTATGAGGATTTTTGATTCCTTTCCACAATAACTTGACATATAGAAAGCATTTAGTGTTCTTTTTCAATAGTGATAAAAAATGAGTATGTAACACAAACCTTAGGCTGCTTTCAAATATATCAATTTCTTTTAAACCCAGAATAATACTATGCTACTATAACTATAGCACTGCATGGCTTATTAGCATATTTGAAGGTTGGTCTTGAGATAAGATTATAAATGCCATAGGTTGACTTTGTGAGGTAATGTATCCAAATAAGATACATATATATCTATGTGAATCTAAATTATCCTCTCTTTCCTTCCATTTCTCATTAAGCATTCTCTCATATTCCTTAAGTGTTATCCCTTTGTGCTGGTGCAGCTTTGAAATCACCGGAGCAACTAGGAACTCTAATCCAGACCAAATAAGGAGGATTACCTTTTGGTGCCTATAGCTGGTCAGTGCCAAGGCCTAGCAACAATAATGATTATAATGGTCAGATAGAGTAAGATAAGCAGTTGCTGCACAGTATTCAGTGATACTGTGCGCTATAAATTTATTCAGCCATCCCCCTACTAATTCAACTTGTTGCTAGTTATTTGCCATCACAAACAACACTATAGTAAACACCCTTATATTGGCCCTTACCTTTTATTTTTATTTCTGGGGGATATTTTATTTCTGGGGGAATTATTCCTACTAATTCAACTTGTTGCTAGTTATTTGCCATCACAAACAACACTATAGTAAACACCCTTATATTGGCCCTTACCTTTTATTTTTATTTCTGGGGGATAGATTATAGGCAAGAGACTGCTTGATCAAAGGATATGTGCTATTTTAAAATTTTAAGATGCAATCAGTTATTTTCAAAAAGACAAGTTTCCTCCAGCCATGCAATAGGTGGTATTATACTAAAATTCATGTTTGTCTGATGAGTATAAACCTCACCTTTTCCTAGATTTGCTTCTTTGTAAATTTTCATATTAGCCTATTTTCCTATAGGATTATTTATCTTTTTGTCAGTTTTGAAGACTTCTTCATGTATTAGACATTAGGAAGTTTATGGATTGGTTATAGAGATATTTTAATCTCTAGATTATATATGTTATTTCTTAGGTTTTCTTATAAATTGTCTATTTCCTTTTTGCAATATATTAATATTTAATCCATCTAGAATTGAATTTTTAATGTCATATATGAGGGTTCATTTTCTTTTCTTCCAGATGGGTTGCCAGTTATACAAGCACAATTTGTTAAAATAATCCAGCAGCCAGTTTATCAGCAAGTCACACAGCTCTGACACCTGCATGTCCACCAGAAGCAATCACAGATTTGAACTAGCAATCAAAAAAAGAGAGAGGGAGAGCAGAATAAGCTTTAACCCGGCATTAAGTTTATTATTAGATTTGTCCTGACAAAAAAATGTCTTCACAGCATGTTCATCAACAGTCCCGCAACTATCCAAGCAAGCACAGCTTCCACTGCTTCAGCACTGCACAGAGGAGAAAAGATCAAAATGGAAGTGGTTCACCTCAGCACTGGGAAACATTAACGTTCTCATCCAGCACATTTTATAATAACCAACCAGGGCATCTGCACGGTGTGCCACCATCACATGGGGCACACTCACTTGTAACAATGATAATCATTTAAGCACAGAGAAGCCACTGCCTTGGTTTCCCAAGACTTGTGATGCCTTACTTATATAGGCTGTCAATGTCTACATGCCAGTTAACAGTTCACCCCATCCAGATACAGGCTACAGATGAGAGATTTACAGTGGTGTTTTCTTCAAGGAAACTGGTAGAAAGGCAAATCTAAAGTCATTTTTCCAGAGATGAATCAGTGGGAAAGACCTGTTCTTAATCCTTTACTGATACCACACTTTTCCTACTCAACTAAAACTTTGCTATGTAATCCTTTAACCATATGATCTTTTCTTCATTCAACTTAAACTGCCTTATATTTTGATTTATACCAGCACCTATTTCTATATTCTCTTGCTTCATTAATCTGTTTTTCTATTCCTATATTAACACCATATTAATTGATAACATATTAGCCTTATTGTATTTTGATACTGAGTATTACAGCAAGTCCCTCACTCCCTGTTTTTCAGTTTTATTGGCTAATCTAATTTTCTTTCTATATAAATTAAGATAGTTTTCTCAAATTACAAAAACGCTTTGATATTCTAATTGGAATTACACTAAATATATACACCTACTTTGGGAGAAATGACATTTATGATACTGTCTTTCTGTCCCAAAACATAGTATACCTTTGCATTTGTTCAAATTGTGATTCACGTCCATCAGCATGAGGATTCTGAACAAAGTAATTTGAAGCCCATTGCTGCTTAATACCATTATATTAAAGATTCGTTTTTGGTGAATAAGGAAATCCCCCTTCCACCCCAGCCCAGAATTCATGTGTGGAAGCCCTAATCTGCAATGTGATGGTATTTGGAGATGGGGCCTTAGGGAGATTAATTAGTTTTAGATTAGGTGGCACACTTATGATGGGAGTATTGCCCTTATAAGGAATGCCTCGTGTATACACCAAGCACACAGTGAGACAGCAGCTGTCTACAACCCAGGAAATGGACCTTCACCAAATCTGCCAGCACTTTGCTATTGGGACTTCTTAGCCTCTACAACTGTGAGAAATAAATGTCTGTTGTTTAAGCCACTCAGTCTATGGTATTTTGTTATAGTAGCTCAAGCTAAGACAGTCCCCTTCCTGCTTAATTCTACCCCAGCCAGTTAAATATGAGGTAAACATCTTGTCAGATGCTATGAGCTCCCGATATATGGTAAATAAGACAAAACCACTTCTCATTAGAAGAGTATAATCCCAACTCCTTTAACAAACTCTGTAATTTTTGGCAATTTGTAAAACTTCCTAAGTCCCAATTTCTTCATTTTAAAATAAAAATTGTTGGAATGGGAAATATGTGAAAAATACAGTTCCTGCAAATGACGTCACCAAAATGTTGAACTAGGAAGCTCCAAGCTATTGTTTTCCCATAGAAACTGAAAAACAACAACAAAAAAAACCCCAGAAGCTTTCTGAACCAACTTTGTAGTACCTCTGAGAAACAGTCAAAGGTTTTTTGAAACAAGAAAATGCTCAATTAAGAAAAGCCATCTTCAAAATGTTAGTAATGTTTTGTGGCATGTTTACTCTTTCCCCACCC